CCTTCAGATGTTGCTGGACTCCAGTTCCCATCAGCCCCAGTGACCATGACCAATGGACAGGGATGATAGAAGTCGTAATCCAGCCACATCTGGATAGTGCAAAGTTAGCCACCCCTCACTTAGAACCACTGTGAAACAAGTTAAATCCCCACTCACACATGATACTAATGGAACAATCTTGGTACGGTCACTCTCTCTCAGCCTGTTCTACCTCACAGGATTGTTGTGAGTATAAATTGGAGGGAGAGGCATACACACCATCCTGAGCTGCTAAAAAAGCAGTAAAAAAGAGGCTGCCCTCAATGTGGTGTAGTGGTTAAGAGCAGTGGACTCGTATTCTGGTGAACCGGGTTTGATTCCCTGCTCCTCCACATGCAGCTGCTGGGTGACCTTGGGGATAGTCACACTTCTCTGAAGTCTCTCAGCCTCACTCACCTCACAGAGTGTTTGTTGTGGGGGAGGAAGGGAAAGGAGAATGTTAGCCGCTTTGAGACTCCTTAGGGTAGTGATAAAGTGGGATATCAAATCCAAACTTTTCTTTTAATTTTATTTTTAAAAGGCCAGTTTGTAACTCTCAGAGCATTGCACCTGGCTGGATTTAAATTGGGTCAACCATTTTTTCTGTGTTTGGGCTCTTGGCTTTGACTTGAAAAGACATTAACTCTGCCTTGGCATTGGCAGGGTGACAGAGTCCCCATTTCCAAAGGTTTCCATACCAAGCCTCTCTCACCCCAGCCTCATATGCAGACCAGAGTGAGCGAGCAATGCTCAAAACCAAGTTCCAGTTTTTATCTACATGAGCAGCAAGAATCAGGTCAGGAGATTTCCAGTTAATTTCAGCTCCCCTCAAGTCCTGGCATGCCTTGTGAATCACAGCCTACAGGCAAGGCTTTGGAATGAAGCTAGGGAGGCCAGCAGATGGGGGAAAGAAACAACAAGTTTCTAATCCCTTACTAAATGACGAACACTCATTGAAATGTCATCTTCTGAAATTCTTGCTCATGACCTCCATTTTATTTTATTTTTGAAAGTTACTATCCCAGGGGTATAATAAAAAAAAGGTTTGTTACTTTTCCCAGTGTACAGGCAAACAAAATTGTAGCTAAGGACATAGGAAGCTGTCTTACACCAGGTCAAATTATTTGTCCACTTAGCCCAGTCTTATTGGAAGGGGTCCTGAGGGTCATCTAGTCCAACCCCTCTGCTATGCAGGAATCTCAGCTAAAGCATCCATGACAGGTGACCATCCAACCTCTGCCTAAAAACCTCCCTTGAAATAGAATCCACCACATTCCAAGGGAGTCTGTTCCACTGCCGAGCAGCTCTTATTGTCAGAAAGTTCTTCTTGATGGAATCTCCTTTCTTGAAACTTGGACTCTCCTTTCTTGTAACTTGAAGCCATTGAGTTGGGTCTTATGCTCCAGAGCAGGAGAAAACAAGCTTACTCCACCCTCCATGTGACAGCCCTTCAGATATTTGAAGATGGCTATCACATCTTCTCTCAGTCTCCTCTTTTCTAGGCTAAGCATACCAAATTCCCTCAACTGCTCCTCATATGGCTTGGTTTCCAGACCCTTTATCTTCTTTGTTACCCTCCTCTGCACACCTTCCAGATCACTCCAGGTGTGATCTGAAGAAGGCAGAATAGTGTGGTACTATTACTTCCCTTGACTGGGACACTATACTTCTGTTTACGCAGTGTAGAACAGCTTTTTTGCTGCTGCATCACACTGTTGGCTCATGTTAAGCTTGTGGTCTTGCTGCTGCATCACACTGTTGGCTCATGTTAAGCTTGTGGTCTACTAAGACCTCTAGATCCTTTTCCCATATAATACTGGTAAGCTAGGTGTCTACCATATTATATTTGTGCAGCTGGTTATTCCTGCCTAAGTGTGGAACCTGACATTTATCCCAGTTGAAATTCATTTTGTTTGCTTTGTCAATCTGTTCAGTTCATCTTGAATCCTATTCTGTCTTCTGCAGCATTAGCTACCTCTCCCAGTTTGGTGTTATCTGCAAATTTGATGAGCAGTCCCTCAACTCCTTCATCCAAGCCATTTTAATAGATGTTGAACAACAACAGGCCCAGGGCATAACTCTGACTGGCAGCAGCTCTCCAGGGTCTTGTGCAGAGGTTTTCCACATCACTTGCCACCTGAACCTTTGGCGATGGGCAGGATTGAGCCCAGGAGCTTCTGCGTCCAAAGCAGTGAGCTATGTGCCTTCCCTGATACATCAGCACATGTTTAAGGGTTACCCAGATCCCTAGTTAGTCCCACATGTTCGTCATCTCTTTAACCCTCTCAGTAGTTTGTCCCATGAGACGTGATCCTCTGCTCTTGGGGATGGGGAGAAATTTAGTTCAGTTCACCTTGAAGGCTGAATCTATCAAATCCTCCCTTTTCAAAACTAAACGAGAACCGAAACACAGCCATCCATCAAAATTCACACTTCTCGAATTTTGCGGTGCATCATTCTAATAATGTGCACAAAAATGCATACATCGGGGGAAAGCATGCAGCAAAATGCATGCATTAGTGACAATAGCATATACAAATGCATTATGTTGGGGGAAATTGCATAGAAAAGTGAGTGTTAAGAGAAGTGAGCACTTAAAATGCTGATGAATTTTCATGAGGGCTTAAAAAAAATCACAAACTTTTGCAGAAATGTGAACAACTGAACTTAAAAGTGGAAAACAAATGAGGAACCAAGAGAAAGTGATATTGACAGATTAGTCCATCCCTATGTGCATATCTGTTTTGCTGTGTCCAATCTCTGGGCTCCCAGGTATCCTTCCAGGCCTTCCATTACCTATCAGGGTTGACAATACTGAGCTTTATAGACTACTTGCTTGACCTCCATTAGGATTATCATTCCCTCTAATAACAAACTCAGGGAACAAGTGCCAATCTGGGAGCCAGTGGGCTCCGTAGGGAGGATGCGCAAGATTTAAATTGAATCATCAGCAACAACTGGATCGTATTCAAAATGGGGTCACTGGGAAACAAGATGGAGGTGTCAGCCTGCTTCTGGGAGAAACTCCAAGGATAATTCAGCAACACTCGCTGGCCGTGAAATGTTGGGTGTCAGTAGGAAAAGGAAAAATGGAAGACACAGTGGTGTGGATAGATTGGAGAAGCCTAGAGGAGCGCATTGCTGGCTGAAATGCTGGATAGGATTTAGAGGTGAGAATACATTGATTTTTGTTGCTGCTGCGAATCCTAAAATTATACACTTCCTGTTGAGGGTGCCTCTGACCAATATTTTTACTGGCCTGGCTGTTTTTATAATGCCATCTATTTATTTCCAATGGCCTATTCTTTAGCAGTTACATATAGGAAATTATTACCTCATGAACTGTTGCTTAGTTGAGAAAACACATCAGATAGAGTTTTCAATGGGTGCCACAGCCATTAGCTTCCCCTAATTCTCCACCTCTTCTTAGGTAAAAAATAAATAAATTGAAAATCCTTTCATTAAAAAAAAAAGTCTTCTCAGCTGTTTCTGAGAGAAATTTTTTTGTTATGATTATTCATATGTCTTTAAAACTATTTTGTGAGGCTCCCTGTATAAAACATGACTATACCTTTTTAAGCCACTGGGCACCTTCAATGTCGAGGGTGTTGTACCCAAAACAGAAAGAAAAGGAAAAGAAAAGCCTTTGAGAAAATAAACACCTCTCAAAGAAAAGTAGGGAGACAGAGAAAAAGAGAAGACAGGTTGATGTTAAGTATTTGGGGGCAGAATCTTGAGGGGTGGACACTGGAAACGTCTAGCCAGGGTCTTCATCCTCTTATATCATTCAGGGACTAAAAAGTCCAAAAAGATTTGGGTTTATCTATATTACCCCCTTCCTTCCAGGTGTTTTCTGAGGTAAAAATCCCCCTTCTACAGAAACGGAAAGGTGTTAAAATCCTCCTATGTGGTGTAAGTCAGGTGAGTACATCCTTATTCACCCTGCAGCACTCTGTCATGACAAGTTGTACCTGCTAAAACTATTCTTTCCAGAAATATGAGGGCTAGGCCATAGAAGTTTCCAGCAGTCTCTCTTTTTCTTACTCTCTCTCTCCTGCACGAAACCCATCAAGCTTTAACCCATCAATCACCCATGCCTTGTAAACAGTTCACTGTAATTGTCACTCAGCTACTTTACAGAGCCAGAAACACCCTTACAACAATGACCCTCAATTCAGTTCACGAGCACAGTATATCCTGTCTTCCATTCTCTCTCTCTACCGTCCATGCCTGACACACACCCCAGGTCCCACAGACATATGTCCTGACAGCTGCCATGAGCACACATCCAGATTATACCAACAACCCAGCTTCTGACTTCCAAATGTCAGAACGGTCCCCAGAGCCTAGCTTTTTTATATAGCCTAACTTCTTTGAGGATGGCACTTGGGGCCTCCCCTTAAAGGTATGAGGACCCAGGTTGTCCTTCATCTTGACGATCAATAATTAGTCTGCACATGCATGCTCCTTGTTTGCAAACTCCAGCATCAAGCAGCAACTGGAATACGTGAATCTGCCAACACCAGAGAGTTTCATAACATTTTGCCTCAAAATACTTCTAAGGCAAAAGGTTTTAGCTCAGTATTTGAGCATCTGCTTTGCATGCAGAAGGTTCCAGGTTCAATCCCTGGCATCTGCAAGTAGGTCTGGATAAAACCCCTGGCTGAAAGAGCTTCTGTCAATCAATGCAGACAATATTGAGCCAGATGGACCAAATGATCTGACTCAGTGTCAGGCAGCTCTTCCTATATCCTATATCAGTGCACACATAGCAGGGTGCAAATCATCACATGTTGGGATATCAAGTGATAGGCATGCATGTGTGAACCAGCCGGACAGGCCCACTGTATCACATTTATTTCATTAGACATAAGAAAGTTTGCTGGGTTGGAAGTGGGGTACTTGAGACCGAATCAAGATGTCTCACTTCCTGATATGGAAAGAGTAAAGGTCCAGTATAATATGTAGGAAAGGAACAATACCTCTTTGCCGGATTTCTCAATCTCTACCGTCACCGTGGTGTGGTTCTTGTGCTCCTGGAACATGCAGAGGTAACAGATGCAGACCTGGTCCGTCTGGCAGAAAAGCTCCATCGTCTTGCCGTGCACAGGGCATTTCCTGGCTTCAAAGTCCTTGATGGGGTCAAGGAGCTGGTGATCCCGGAAGGCAGCCCCTTCAAAGTGAGGCTTCAGATGGAGCTCACAAAAGCTGGCTTGGCACACAAGGCAGGACTTCACGGCCTTCTGCTTGTTGTCAATGCAGGAGTCGCAGAGGACCTCTTCGAGGACCCGGGGCCTTGAACTGGACCCTCTGCTCACCCGGTTGAAGTTGGATCTCTTGGTGTCTCCTGATTCCCCAAGGGAGACAGTGGGTTTCCTCAGATCTGCAATCTGCCCACTGGAATACAGTGACTTCTTCACATCCCCTTCGCTGGTGAAGGTTTTCTTTGTTTCCATGTTGTATATAGACTTCCTCAGGTCCCCTCTTTCTGGGAAGGACATCTGGGACCTCCGAGGCTCCCCTAGAGGCATGGAGGGGAACGCTGGCTTCTTGCCCTCCCCAGACTCCATGTTGAAATAGGTCGACCTCTTCTCATCGGATTCAACAAACTGGATGATTGGCCTCTTCCAGTCGCCCCCAGAATATATCGATTTTTTGAGCTGTTCTATCTCCAGTGCAGGGCTGGTGTTATTCTTGTTGGCATCTTTTTCCCCTTTGCTTGGGCTAGTCGGTTTCTTCCCTTCTTCTGCCTCTTTTGGTGGAGAGGCTGGGGTCTTCACGTCTTCTGACTTACTTGTGGTCCCATTTGCTCTTGCTGCCTCCATCCCGTAGCTTTTTCTCCTGGCCTCAACACTTTCTTTTCTCTCTCTGCTGCAACTGTCAGGAAACGGCAGAAGTCTCGGACTACCTTACCCTTTCACAAAAGCCGGCAACCTCACTGGCTGCTGTCCCAGCAAGGAATGGAAGAACAATACGTCAAAAGCTTTACCTAAATGCCACACCTGAAAGATGGGGAGGAGAACTGAGATACCTGAATTACACTGGGCAGAGCCAGAGAGAGAGAGAGATGTTACAAAAGGCATCAAGAGAGCCAGCTGCATAGTTAATTATACAAGCCAGCCCACACCCAAGAACATTCTTGTCTAACCAGGTTTGGGAATGAAGGGTTGTTTATGTGTCACTTTTTTCTTTCAAAAATAATTTTCATTAAGAGGCAGCAACCAGTTCTGCTACCTGCTTCGAAAATAGTTGCTTCTGTTGACAGCAGGAGTGGAGTGACCTTCTCTGCTGCATGAGCAGGATTATACGTAGAGTGTAAGGTACAAGAAAGGGGGGGGGGTAAGTGGACTGCTTGTGTGTGCATGCAACTAGGCTTGCCATTGGAATTGATGCAAAGAGTCATAATCAGATAATGAACTAAGGATATTAGAGTTTCCATGAGAACTAGAAGCAGAAAATGTCTGAAGCTGAGAGTCTCAGCTTCTGACATTGTTGTTTGAATGCCTGCACTGCAACCCTTTACTAGTTTATCTAAAGGAGGCTGAAAATAAAACATTCTGCACACTTACTCTCTTGACAAATGGTGAGAGAATGAGAGGGAGTGGAGATTGGCAGAAATGTCTTCATTCACCTATGAGTATTCATGTGGGGAAGGCCCATAGCTCAGTGCTATAGCATCTGCTTTGCATGCAGGGGGTCCCAGATTCAATCCCTGGCATGTCCCAGTAGGACTGGGAGAGACCCCTGCTGGAAACCCTGGAGAGCTGCTACCTGTCAGTGTGCGCAATACTAAGCTAGATGGACCAATGGCCAGACTCACTATAAGGCAGTTTCCTATATTCCTGCCATCCTGGTTATTTATTCTGATTCTCCATGGACACACACACACCCAGCACACATCAGGTCTTTTCCTCTCTCGATGGCCCTCCAATTATCTGCGCACCCAGTTAGTTCAAAGCTTTTAATAGCTACCAGAGCATTTCAATAAATGTGGGCATTGTACGCGTCTGTGTTTATAATTTTCCGCATTAGGATTTCATTAGTGGTTCACAATAGGCCTTGCCTGCTCCTTTACAGAAGCACAGGACATGTGCTTTAATTGTTTAAAAACGCAGATCATTAAACAAAACAAAACAAAACAAATTACATGGGCTGTTTATGACTATATATGCTGGGCTTAATCCCTCCTTCCCCTACTGCCGCCGCCTTCTTTCGCTCTCTGCTTCTTGGGTTGAGGTGATCTCTTAAGACAATAGCCTTTGGGGAACTTGAGTCGATTAAGGAATGTTCTAGGGTGGAGATCTGTGTTCTCAGATGTACTGAGGCAAGTATGCAAGGCTTGCTTGCTTGCCTGCTTTTGTTCTGGATTCAACACTTCAAGTAGGAGAGAATGAATTTCAGGTAGCCAGCCACTGAACTCTGCAAAATAATAAAGGAAGCACTTCTACAAATGTTCCATTCAACGTGGCTGGTAAGGACGTAGGAACATAAAAAGCTCCTCCTGGGTCAAGCCAAATGGAGCCCATCTGGTTTAGAATTCTGTTCTCACAGTGGCCACCCAGATGCCTGCAGGAAACCCACAAGCAAGACTCAACACTTTCCCCTCTGATGATTTCCAGCAACTGGTATTCAGAAGCAATACTGCCTTTGATCACAGAGGCAGAGGACAGGAATCATGGGTAGTAGACTGGGTAGTAGAAGACTGATAGTCTTCTCCATGAATTTCTCCATGAATTTGTCCAATCCTATTTCAAAGTCCTCCAAGTTGTTGGCTATTACTGCCTCCTGTGGGAGTGAGTTCCATAGATGAACTGTGCACTGTGTGGAGAAGTGTGTGAAGAAATAGTAATCCTGGCGCTCAGACTGGGAAATGTTATGCCATTTTTGTTGTTCAAACCTCCCCAGATAACAGTTTCTGGTGCGCAGCCTACTGCAGGACTGGTTCCCTCACGAGGGAGCTTTTGACACTAGTGTTTTGTTTATAATCAGAATCAGAATTGAAGAGTTGTAAGGGACCCTGAGAATCATCAAGTCCAACTGCCTGCAATGCAGGACTACAGTGGTACCTCGGGTTACATACGCTTCAGGTTAAATACGCTTCAGGTTACAGACTCCGCTAACCCAGAAATATTATCTCGGGTTAAGAACTTTGCTTCAGGATGAGAACAGAAATCGTGCAGCAGCAGCGTGGCGGCAGCAGAAGGCCCCATTAGCTAAAGTGGTCTTCAGGTTAAGTACAGTTTCAGGTTAAGAACAGACCTCCAGAACGAATTAAGTTCTTAACCCGAGGTACCACTGTATGCAGCTGTCCCATATGGGGATCGAACCTGCAACCTTGGTGTTATCAGCACAAGGCTCTAACCAACTGAGCTATCCAGGCATCGTTGGCATTAATACAAAAATATGCAACTTAAAGAACATTGAGACAAGCTCAGCAGGATCATACCTATGGTCCAGCAAGGGCTGCATCCTGTTCCACAACTAGCCAGTCAGATGCCTCTGAAAAGATCACAAGCTTGATGGCAATATCCAGCGGTGACTGGTGTCCATAGGCATTGGCAGGGCAGAAGGCAGGGAGCCTAACAGTAGGTGGCGCCAGAACAAATGGCAGGCAGAGCCAACTCATTCTAGTTCTGTTCCCCATCAATCCCTTTGCAGAAATCTACAGGGCAACACTGAGAATAAGAAGGAAGAAGCTGGCAGGCAATGCCACCTCCTGGACTGGCTGTAAGAAAGAAGGCAGGCATACGGGGGGGCTGTCTGAAGGCAGACCGAGATTGGTGGGGCAGAGCCCCATCTGCTGTAACGGAGCATTGTCATCAATTGTTGCTGCCCAGTAATGGGTATTTAGAGGCATATTGCCTTGGAATCTGGACATTCTATATAGCTTCCATGACCTCAATTACTATAGATAGTCACATGCTTTTGTCTTATTCCTTTTTTTACCTTCTAAGCCAACAATCATCCATCACCACACTTGGAGGCAGCATATTTCATAAATAAGGATATGTGGTGTGAGAAAGGTCTTTCTTTCACCCACCCTGACTCTGAAGCCAAATAATTTTATTGGATGATCCCCAGCGTTAAGGATTTTGAGAAAAATGTTGCTTATTTCACTTTCTTCCACACCATGCATTATAATGTAAAGCTCAGTTCTATTTCTCCTTAGGCATTTTTTGAATAAAAGAAATGTATTTTGTCGAAGTAACCCCTCAATCATTTTCGTTGTCCTCTTTTGCTCCTTTTCAGTTAGGAAAGCTGGCAGCTGGCCAGATGGTGCTAGACTTTGATATGAAGTTGGTCCCTCCAAAGCAAACATCTTGCAGAATCTCCAGCTCTTGAAGGCTTCATCTTGCTTGTTGTTGTTGTTGTTTAGTCGTTTAGTCGTGTCCGACTCTTCGTGACCCCATGGACCAGAGCACGCCAGGCACCTCTGTCCTCCACTGCCTCCCGCAGTTTGGATAGGCACCATAATTCAAAAGCATCAATTCTTCGGCGATCAGCCTTCTTTATGGTCCAGCTCTCACTTCCATACATCACTACTGGGAAAACCATAGCTTTAACTATACGGACCTTTGTTGGCAAGGTGACATCTCTACTTCTCAAGATGCTGTCTAGGCCTGTCATTGCCTTTCTCCCAAGAAGCAGGCGTCTTTTAATTTCGTGGCTGCTGTCACCATCTGCAGTGATCATGGAGCCCAAGAAAGTAAAATCTCTCACTGCCTCCATTTCTTCCCCTTCTATTTGCCAGGAGGTGATGGGACCAGTGGCCATGATCTTCGTTTTTTTGATGTTGAGCTTCAGACCATATTTTGCGCTCTCCTCTTTCACCCTCATTAAAAGGTTCTTTAATTCCTCCTCACTTTCTGCCATCAAGGTTGTGTCATCTGCATATCTGAGGTTGTTGATATTTCTTCCGGCAATCTTAATTCCGGCTTGGGATTCATCCAGCCCAGCCTTTCTCATGATGAATTCTGCATATAAGTTAAATAAGCAGGGAGACAATATACAGCCTTGTCGTACTCCTTTCCCAATTTTGAACCAATTAGTTGTTCCATATCCAGTTCTAACTGTAGCTTCTTGTCCCACATAGAGATTTCTCAGGAGACAGATGAGGTGATCAGGCACTCCCATTTCTTTAAGAACTTGCCATAGTTTGCTGTGGTCAACACAGTCAAAGGCTTTTGCATAGTCAATGAAGCAGAAGTAGATGTCTTTCTGGAACTCTCTAGCTTTCTCCATAATCCAGCGCATGTTTGCAATTTGGTCTCTGGTTCCTCTGCCTCTTCTAAATCCAGCTTGCACTTCTGGGAATTCTCGGTCCACATACTGCTTGAGCCTTCCTTGTAGAATTTTAAGCATAACCTTGCTAGCGTGTGAAATGAGTGCAATTGTGCGGTAGTTGGAGCATTCTTTGGCACTGCCCTTCTTTGGGATTGGGATGTAGACTGATCTTCTCCAATCTTCTGGCCACTGCTGAGTTTTCCAAATGGAAAAGATTAAGAATGTTGCCTGGGAGCAAGGCAGCTGGAGGGATACACAGGCCCTCAGTAACATCATCACAAAGCCACATCAGAATGGCTAGCTGATTGGCTACATGGCACCTGACATCATCATGTTCACAATGTGATCCCTGATTGGCTAGAATAACACCATGAAGAAGCTCTATAATTGGTGCTGAAGTAGCAGCACATTAAGGATGTAGGGGAGGGGGGAATGTGAACGAGTGAGACCAGTAATTGGGGGGTGGTCACTGTAGGGACTTCTTAAAGATAAAGGGATCCCTGACCATTAGGTCCAGTCATGGCTGACTCTCGGGTTGCGGCGCTCATCTCGCTTTATTTGCCGAGGGAGCCGGCGTACAGCTTCTGGGTCATGTGGCCAGCATGACTAAGCCGCTTCTGACGAACCAGAGCAGCACACGGAAATGCCGTTTACCTTCCCGCTGGAGTGGTACCTATTTATCTACTTGCACTTTGACATGCTTTCGAACTGCTAGGTTGGCAGGAGCAGGGACCGAGCAACAGGAGCTCACCCCATCGTGGGGATTCGAACCGCCGACCTTCTGCTCAGCAAGTCCTAGGCTCTGTGGTTTAACCCACA